GTCAGTGTGGCAGTAATGAGCTTCCATACTTTTAATAGTTCTCAATGAAAGAGACATTTTGGCGCCATTGATCAGTGATGAAGCGACAGCTAGTAGCTGGCTGCATTAGCATTTCCTCTTTTTCTGTCCACAATTTAAACAGTAAAGGTAAGATATTGTTAAAAACATAAGTAAGCTTAAGTATTTCGTGAATAAAGTATTTCACAGTGTGGGAACATAAAGCTTAAAGCTGAATTGTATATTTTTCACCAAAGTACTGTAACTTTAGCTAGCTGCACAGTTAGCTGGCTGTGAGTCAGGTAGTCTCAGTTTTTTTTCTGGTAACTAATTTATAACTAGAACTTTATTTGAACTTTTACTGCGTCCAGCTAAGATAAACAGCACTGACAATGGTCAGGAAGCCTTGGACTCGTAAATCCCAGCGTTTGAAGAAAATTCACCAGAACCCCCTGCGGGTCAGAACCACCATGAACCGCAGCCATCGCGCCTCGGCCCCCGGCTTCTTCAACAGGCTCCCCGCTGAGGTGATCGACATGATCCTGGATCAGTTGTCCGGTATGTTACTGAGCTACAACAGTATTTATGTATATATACTGGATTATTAGGGTCCATAATAGTAAGGGTATAGAAAACTTTTATTTTTTTAATGAAGAAAAACATTTTTTTACTTATCATAAGACTATTAATTGTCTGAGCCACATAAGGTTAAAGAGTCCTTCAAGATTTTTGTGAAAATGCGAGAAATTATGGGATTTTTCCTTTAGAGCTGCTTAATCTAGTTTTAATTCAAGTTCAAGATGACTTTATTGTAGTTTGCATACTTGAGGTGGTCCAGTTACACCCCAGAATAGCTAAAAATAAAGTATAAAGAGAAACGGTATACAAGGAGCTACGCTAAACACTAATAATGTAAAATAATATGTTGTATTAAACAGCAGCCCAAACATGAGTTTGTAGTGAGCAGTTGGGTATGAATACAAGGCCGGGCAGCCTTGCCCTCATTTTAAAATTCATAAATTCAATTCATTTTATTTACAGAAACATTCATATAGATAAAAAGCAAGTTAACATTATTTCTCTGAGGAGCAGACTGCTTCGACTTTAACTCAGACTCTCATCTTGAGCAAGCATGAAGGCAACAGTGGAAAGGAAAAACTCCCTCATGAGGAAGAAACCTCTAGCATGTGTCAAACTTAAGGCCCGTGGGCCAAATATGGCCATCATTAACATCTTATCTGCCCCCAAAGATGATATTTTAAATGAAAAGTATTGTTTATCACTTTTATGCTTTCTTGCTATGCTTACTTTATAATAAATGTTTCATTTAGTGCAGACTTCTGATGACAGCTGGCTAAATTTGAAACCTGATGAAAGGTTGGAATTTTCAGAAATCTTTCTGATGTGGAAAGAGCAATATAAAATACTGAATGAGATGGATCAAACTCTTATTGATAAACCTGCAACATTAATACGGTGTCAAATGACTTTAGGTAATGCATGAACTGAAATTAGTCCTTGGCTTGGACCAAGCTTTTCATTTTGGTCTTCTTTTGTAACTCTTTGACACCCCTGCTGAGCAGAACCAGGCTCAGGACCAGCGGCCATCCAAGTGGAATACACTTTTTAAAAGAAGCCAAGCAGATTTGCATCAGTTTTTAAAAGTCTGTTATTTATCATCGCCATGTTTCATTCTGTCATGAATGGTGTTCATCAACCACTCTCCTCCAACAGAAAACATGTCCAGGTGTAAGAAAGTGGTTTTAACTAAGCTGCTTCAAACACACCCACCATAATCAACAGCTGTGAGCAGTTTGCTATCTTTTAGCATCAGCAGATGTAATTTATTGCTCCTATACAATCTAACTATAACGAGCCACCTCAAACACATCGGCAACAAAAGTGACAGGGAAAGAGAAAAAACATTGCAAGTCTCAACAGATGACAAACATAAACTTCTTTAAAACTGCATTATCTTCCTGTATGATGGAGGGATCACATTTATGATGACATTTCTGAGTCAAGTGACATTTTGGGCTTCATTAATCATCACTGCCTCCTCCTATTTTTACTTATAAATTAAAAAAGATAAAAATGGATCTTTCTGGAAGGTTGTAATGCCTATTACATAACGCTCTAATCTTATTAGACACTTCTTACCCTGGCAGTGTGGGTCTTCCTCTAAATGCTTTTAAATGTAGGCCAACTGGACAGAGAGAAGCTTCATTTCACGATGAATCGGGGCCTTTTTCTGTGTCTTTCAGTGTTGGACATCAGCGTGTTCAGCATGGTGTCAAAGGAAATCACCAGTTATGTTGTGAACTACATCTCCTCCCTCGCCTGGAAGAATAAAACAATCATCCAAAGCTTTCACTGCTCCAGAAGTCTTCAACAAAGATCCACAGCTGTGCACTACAGACAACTGGGTACTTCAATCTGTTTCTCGACGTTTTTCTTTTTGCCTAATCGTACTGTTCTCTCCAACCATTTTTAATTCATCATGATCTTAGAATGTGCTTTTGTGTTTGGCATCTCAGGATTGCTGTTCAAGAGGTGTACCCTGTTGCTCCCCACAAAGGAAAGGTTAAAGTTCATTTTTAGCAAGTTCTCACAGGTGAGAGGGCATTTAAGAAGAAAATGTTGCCATTATTGGATTGTTTAGCTTCTTTATTTTAGTTCAGATAGAGGACACGCAAAGACAGCTTCATTTAAGGATACATTAAAAACAGAGTAATTATTTGTTCTGGTAGTGTTTGGTGTTGAAAAACGAGCGTCATTAATTTAATGGTAAATCTCAAAGTAAAATCCATGTTTGTGACAGATTCCCTGCTACATGTTGGAGCAATGCTCTTCATCAGGCTGCATCGGTTTCTCCAGATTTGGCATCTTTCTTGAGGTGAGGGCCTCATATTAAGGTTGCAGTTGTATCTCACAGCGCCAAACACACACCCTGTTCTTCCAGCTCATAAAAGTGACATAAAATGTGTGTGTTATCAAAACAGCATTATTTACAAGATGTCCAGGTTGAAGCTGTGACTATGTTAGGTTGACTACTGATTTTATCTTGTTTCACTGTTTTATTTTGAGCTGTCTAGTCAGTAAAGACGAGATTATTTAACGATTGCTTCACAGACTCTGATCGCAGGCTGGGATGAGCTGGAGTGTCACCGAGTGTTCAACTATTTGTGCGAACTCACAAACCTCATGCAGAAGACTGAGGCAGTACTCAAGACAAAACCAGGTGCCCGCTGGGATTTATCAAAGCTGAGAACTGATTAATTTAGAGTAAATAAGCACAAAGAACTTCTTTTAAAGTCTCTGTATTTGCAGAGCTTTTATGTCACATAATCAATGAAGAAAATGTGATTTAAAATCTGGAGCATGAAAAAGAACAAGCTAAGACAGGAGTCATGTAAGAGTAGCGCATAATTTGACAGCATCTTTAAGACTTCAGTTCTTTCATTTGCAAACTCAGTTGACCCTTCAGAGACTGAGACAATGTGTAAATATGTTTGTCCCCAGGGTTGAAGGGTTACCAGGAGAAGCAGCTTCGTCTCTTCTGCCGTCAGGTTCTTTTGGACCCGTGGCTGAACCAACCAAATTGTCAGTTCTGGCTCGTGCAGCTCTTGAAGCCCTGGCCCATATTCAGTCAGGCTCACCTCCTGCTCATCCTTTATGGACCTCTGCTGCCTGAAGGTTAAATAACTTTAATACAGAGGAATGATTGAAAAATGAGCAGGTGTAATGTCTGTTGGGCTGTTTTATGGACGTCCGAGTGTTTTGAAATGTTGCAAAACAGGTTAAACATACAACGTAGTGATTTTGTCTTGAATAACCAGTGGTGAAATTTTCTTCATCGTCTATAGAGCTGGAGTTGTACAGCTTGGACTCCTCAGTATTCAAATTGTTTCCTTTTTTTTAAATCAAAGGATAAAGTAATATGGTTGGTTATGGATTCAGGCGTTTTTTTGGTTCAGGTTTCCTCGGCTGGCAGAACCTGGTTGATACGGTTCTACCACACGATGCTCTGCGGGACCTGGCCAACGGCATCCACATCCTGTTTGGTGAACTAGAAGTCAAAGGCTGGACCACAGACTCGATGCTGGCAATCTTGGAAGAGCTTACTGGTATATATATTATATATAGGCCTGTCGCGATAAACAATAAATCAGTTAATCGCACAATGAATGAAAATTATCAACCTCATTTTCATTGATCAGCTTTATCTCCGTGACTCTCTCTTTCTACTGAAGACACGGCTCATCTCCGGTGCTCTTCACTGACACCTCCCTTTCTATTTTCTCTTTAAAATCTGTTTTAACCGTCCAAAATCGCATTTTTGAATCGTTAAAAGCAGCTAAGCTAAGAAGCTAAGCTACGAGCTAAGCTAACAGGCCGACGTCGGGAAGAAACCTCCGTCTTGTCGAGCTCCAAAATTCACGGTTGAAACCCGTGCCTTCGTGTAAAAAGTTGTTTTTCTCTGCAAAAAGAAGCTGAGAACTTATTTACTGATTTTTTTATTAAAAGCTTTGTGTGAACAATGCTATGCTAAAGAGCTCAAATTACCAAGTGTCTGCCATGTCACCATGTCAGCCCATGTCATGTCAAGGGCCCTCCCTCCCAATTTTTTTTAGACACTCTCCTTTGGTTCAAACAGTCTTATACTGCCATCAGGTGGTCAAAAAATGTACTACACTCCAAACAAATCAACATTTCTTTTAACATTTCACAATTAATTAATGTTAAATTTCAAACAATATTATCGTTTATCGCAATAATTTCTGAGATAATCGTCCAGCAAAATTTGCTATCGTGACAGGCCTATATTTATATGAGCGATCTTAATGTTTTGATGTCACATCTTCAAAGACACCTACACTATATTTACAGAAATCCATTTGGTGAAATGTCCTGAAAGTTTAAACAAGTTTAGGGGAAATCTTATCACTGCTGTCACAATGTGCCAGTTAAATTAAGCACTCATCGTTTTAATTTTTGTCTGTATTTCAAAAGGTAAACGTAGCTCATACTGGTTCTGTGTTCATGTTCACCTGCAGCCATTCCTCAGCCATGGCATGTGGAAAATGTGGCCCGGCTCTTGGTGCTGTGCGGCAGCAGAACTTGCTACACTATTTTGACCAGCAAGGCTGTCAACGGCCGATTCACAGAGATCTCTGAACTCCTCATCTACATCATCCTGGTAAAAAATACTTACTTTATTCCCATTTTAAAAAGTCACTTAATTTTAAAGTGGCATTTATATGAGCTGCATGTTTTGTTTGGCTAAATATAATTTATATTTATTATTAAGTCTTTGTTTCTTTTTGCACAAAAGAGCTGAAGAACCTCGTGTTGAATTTGGTCTATTTTGGAAACTGTTTATTTAACCAGGAGATAAAACAATCAAAATAAACTTTTTTTTTTTACACAGTGGTATAGTCAAGACAGACAGCAGCTCAAAACATCAGTTAAAATATGCACTTTTCCAGATAAATAAATTTAGACTTAACACATGACCGACCAAAGTACAAAACAGCCCGACAGTAAACCAAATCTGTATACACAAAGCAGGGCATTTGATCTGATTCTTAGCTTTATCGGTCAAATTTCTTTTGTTTTTAATTTCTTTTTATTGTCCAATGTCTCCGCTTTTAAGTTCTCCATCTTGTGTTTTGTGGCTCTTCCCCCTTCAGGTGTGCGAGAAGGACGGCTTCTCCATGAGCTGGGCGGTGAAGCTGGTTCAGCACATCTACAAATCGTTGAGCTCAGCGCCTGAAAAGTTCGTCTTCATCCAGAAACTGGAGAACAAGTTTACAGAAATCACCAGGGAGTTACTCGACTCTTTTTTAATAGGTGACTGGTTACTTTAAAAAAAAAAAAGTGAATTTTGTATCTTTGGTTTTCAAGGAATGCAACTCCCGAGGTACACATTGAAAAAAAACATGAATCGCAACACGTCTTGCATCATTGTTGTAATTTACATTATTTTTTATCAGATCGGTGTCAGCTAAGCTTAAACAACATTCTAAAATGTAAACTATTGTAGGTATAGTAATTTAAAAACAGAAGATTTAGTCAAACCTTTTGATGGGGCAAGTGGAAAAACTAAAGATTTAATGGTGCTCTGTTAAAAAGTAAATAGTCCAATGGAAGGCAGTGATTGCAGACTTTCCTTCCACTTTACTCACATAAATTCACTAAAGAATTTTTTTTTTAATACATGCTTTTGACCTCTAGCAGGGTTCCCAGTGATTGCATATCAGTGAAAACCTGGTAAATGATCGTTTTTTGAGACAGGGAAAACTCAGGGAATATGAGAAAAACATTAAAAAATCTGGGCAAACCTGGGATTTGAGCACTGATCTGCTGATTTAAAGTTGATCTGAGATTTTAATGTGCACACATAATGTTAGTATTCTAATATCATCGAGTCCATGTTCTGCTTCTACAGAGTACATCATACTTGTATTCTTACTGAGTGGCCATTTAGTATCTGATGTTATACAATATAATTAATTAGTAGGAAAGATCGCTGTGTGCACGTACCATAGGCTGCAGTCTACTTTCTGTCATCTCTGAATGTGACTGCCCACCACCTAAGATACTAAGTCCTGAGCGTTTTGTGTGACTGAAATATCTCCTGAAATTTCAGAATTTTCTCGGGGAAAAGTCAAGTGAAACTCAAGGAATTGTGTTTTCATGAAATGCTGGGAACCCTGTTTAAAGTTTGTTTGAGATATTTTAAAGCCTGCCAGCATATTTTTGTTCCTAATGACAGTTTTTAAACGCTTCAGTAAGATTTGCTATGTTTTTCTAAGTGGTTCGTGCATGTGCATGAATGAAAAAACCCTGTAAGGAAATTTCAAACAGTGTTGAAGCATTTTAAAATGTCTTCATCCGTTTTCAGGAAACCACGCTGAAGACAGGGAGACTTTCCTGATGCTGACCATCCTCATGGATTCCAACGCTCACTTCCACACTTTGCTCATCAAAACGTTGCTCAAATAGGAAAGATGTTGGTGGAAAGTGGCAAACTGTGGAGTTGAGGAGTAATCGGTGTTAATAATTATGGGGGTTAGCTCCTGAAACTGGTCTAGGAAGGTGCTGGGTGTGACTGGAGCAGTTTTTTGTCCCAGAACGAAGAAGTAAAGACAAACTTTAACATCCACCTTAAAAAAAATGCACTGAAAACAGATATTTTAGTGTTTTAACTGTATTATTTATATTCATACAACATTTTTCTTGGCATTTGATACAATCTGGTTCTTGATGTTAACTTTTATAAACCATATTTAATATGTATTTATCAACATAAAAATTATTTAATATATTCTGTTTGTGTAAATACCCTTCTTATAGAAGTTGCTAAATTAATTCTGGTTGTTCATTGAATTCATATTGGACTAAATGTTTTGTTTATCAGATGTTTGAAGGATTATCTTTGGAAAAAAACGCAGCATCCATTCACCAAATAGGTTTTTTCTACTTTCCAGTCAGTTCAAAATGTGACAGACATTTAAAAAAAAAGTTCAGTGGATCAAATAGTAAAGCAGATGTCACCCAAAAAGACAAAATTGTTTAAATGTTACAAGTGAAAATGTGCAATATTCAGCATTTACAGTTTGTGTTTGCAAAAAGTGGAATCATTATCCAGGAGCGCTTAAACACTTATGTTAGTTGGCTGTTTGTTTTGTTGTACAGCACTTTAATTGGCCTTGCTGCTGTTTTTTTATTTTAATAAATAAAGTGTTTGTAGTTCTGTTTAATTGAGCAGCTCTGACTTTTTTAAAACAGATGTTTAAAAGAAGCACAGAAAATATGTGCTGGGCTATTTGACACTGAAACTTAAGGCCTGCAAGATCAAAAGTGATGAACACTTAAAATGAAGAGGGCTGAAGAGTTTTCACATCCGACTGTCCGTCCGCAGTCACGCCTTCACTTGTTCATTGTTTTGATGTGATCTGGCAGAGAGAGAGAAAACAGATTTTATAGCTGATTCTGTTTGTATTAAGTTAACTGCAAATGATACAAGAACAATAGAAAATATTGGATGGAAACGACTCCCACAACACAAAAACTGCAAAAAAACAACTAAAGCCTCTAACATGTGTCTCAGAAAAGTTTTAATTTAGAGAGGACACCGTTAAGTTGAAGTCACAGATGAGTTTGAGAACGCTCTCGCAAATTAAATCTAACACCTTCACATGATTCAACACAACGGTACTTACTGTGCAATTTGATCTATGGGTATGAAAAACAACACTGAGTCAAAAACGATTCAAAGATGTAAGATGTAAACTATTGCCGTTTAAATTATCACAATAAATCTACTCCGACACGATACCTTGCAGCCAGTCCAGCCCTTCCTGTAGACCTTCTCCTTTGATGGCGTTGCTGGCGCTGAAAAACACAACGTCCAGCAAATAGCTCAACGTTTTGCACGGCGTTCATTTTCTGCTGATTTTTTTATTGGATCCTGACTATTTAAAGCTGTCGAGCTCTTAATCCGTCCATTTCCATCTGTCTAATGAGTAAACAAGGAGGAAAACACATGAGCCAGGGACTTGAACAACCGCGTGTTGCCTCTTATGTTTAACCAGCGAGAAAAAACTCCGTAAAGCAGATGGTTGAATTCCACACAGAGCAAACATGTTTTACTTTAAGACTCCAGGAAGAAACGTGTTCTGAGTGGAGGTCAACTGGTTTTATTTGACTTGATCCCAAAGTTTAGCTTGCCGTTTTCTATTTTAAGATGTTTCATCAAGGTGAAACCAGATGTGATGGATTCATTACCAGATGTGCCAGGGTTTGTCTTTGATGTTCTCCAAACGCAGCATCTGGGACACCTTGACTGAAGACAGCGCGTCCCGCAGGTCCATCTTGTTAGCAAAGAACAATACTGGCATCTTTTTGTCGTGGATATCTAAGATGAAATAGAAATGTGGATGGAAACTTGGGCCTATCATTCCTTGAATGAATGCATATCGCCCGCCACCTTTCATGTCAATTTTTTTATAAAAATCCAGTGAGTCACAAGATAATTTAATAAAACACACACAGACATGGACAAAAACATAACCACCCTTTCACCTGTGTTGATTTACCGTCATTTCCAGACTATTGAGTGCACCTGAATATAAGCCACACCCCCTAACTTAAACAAAATATATAAATTTGTACATATCTAGGCCTTATTTGTGTATAAGCCGTGAGTAACCACATAGTAACTTGAGATATTTACACAGAAAGATTTTTTAAAACTTTAAATACGTACCGGTAACGTACACAAATTTGTACAGTAATTTTTTTTTTCCGCAACAGATAGTTAAAAAAAACCCAAAGACAATAACCTACCAGGAAGTCATTGATCGCTAACTTCAACAAAGATCTGTGACCTGTTTGCTTATTTCATTGGTCAGATTTTATTTTTATTTTACCTTTATTTATATAAGTAGTCTCATTGAGTCATGAGGACCCACCCCCCAAAAGAGTCATGTATTGGGCAGCTGGTGTGACAAGGCTAAATGTTTTGGTGGCATGAAGCTCGTTAGCCCATCAAAAAAAAAAAAAAATCCATAAATTAACTGCAACATTATATAAGCCACGGTGTTTAAAGCCTGTGAAAAAAGTAGCGGCTTATAGACCATAAATTACGGTAAATACTTTACTCCTATAGGCATGCAAACATGTAAACAGTATGTGTTAATCTAAAGGAGAAGGAAGACGCGCTTGTTTTATTGTACCTTCATGGTTGAGAAGAGTATCCAGCTCCTCTTTAGCAACAACCATTCTCAGTTTGTCGCTGCTGTCGATAACAAATATGATTGCATGGCTTTCCCTGAAAAAAAAACAAAAAAAACAAAACCCAGACAACAATTAAAATCTTTCACACCGTCGGTGTGTAGTGGTCGTTTATGTCTCCTACTTGTAGTAGTGCTCCCAGAGGCTCCGGTATCTGCTCTGACCAGACATATCAAAGACTGTAAATGACAAGCTGCAACGAGACAAAGAAAATGAAGAAAAACTTCAAAATTAATTACCATCTTTAGTTAGACATTAATTAAATCGTATATTTAACTTCACCTTGAACTCCTGAACTTTTCGATGTTAAAGCCAATTGTTGGGACTACTTCTTGTGCCCTTGTCTGCATGCACCACCACACAAACACAAAAAAAACAGACAAGTAACAGCCAAAGTCTGTTAACAAGGAAATAATAAAAGTCAAGTATGAAGGCTTTACCTGACTAACATGTTTCCACTCTGCTGACAGTGGACCTAAATGATTTGGATGCTGAAAACGAATGATTGCAGTGAAATAAAGATGTTGCCAGGCCCTTTTGCAGTATGCATGCCAATGGCATTAAAATAATTTTACTGCAGGACTGCAAACATTCATTCAACCTTTATACTAGGGATGCATGATATTGGATTTTTGGCCGATATCAATACCAATATTTTTTCCCTAGACCTACTTACAGAGACTACATAGCTTTCTTTGCTGTGGAATTAATATACAGCATTATTCTACATGTTTTTTGTCAATTTGACCTGCTACCAAATGCAGATGCCAAACAGGAGGCTGAAAATTATGCTTGGATTATGTTTAATGTCAAATTTTGTCACTGGGTTGTCATACAAAAACGGCGCCTTTCATATTTGTATATATACAGTATATATATACCTGTATGTATAAAAACAGAGCCTTTTAGATCGGTGAGTTATTTTGATGGAATGGCCAATATCCGATATTTAACTTTAATGCAAATATCGGCCGATACCATACAGATAATATCGTGCATCCCTAATTTATACAGGTTAGTCCCTAGTACAGTTAGTACAGGTTAGTAAACATAAAGGCCACTTTCACTAGCTCCTCCAGCATCAGCCGCAGTTAATCTACACATTTTTTGTCAGTGTCATGTCATAAAACTTACATTTGAAGGCTTGAGCTGGTTGATGATGGTAGTTTTTCCGCTGTTATCCAGTCCCAAACACAAAACGTTGACTTCTTTCTTCTTCAGGCTGAGCCAGCCTGATAGTTTATCCAACAGCCCCATTTCAATCAGCTGAAAATTTCCTAAACATTCCCTTTATAGCTGGTCCGACTGCTGATAATCAGATGTGATGCATTCACAGAGTCTAATAAAAACATTACTGGTAGAATAAAGTGCCTCAGAGCATGCTGTGAATAGATGAGGTGCTGCCCGGCCATCCCAACTTGGGACAGGTAATCCTATTAGGACGCATTAAGTCCAGTGAACCACCCAGTGACCTGCTCATATGGAGCGTTCCAGGCCCCCCATCCTGATGAGTTTGATTTATTACACAAACATCCCGAAAAGCCTCTTTGGGTCTATTGAAGAAATATAGTACTTAACAGCAGCTTACCTCTGCTGTCCTCACATATGGAACCACTAAGTTTCACAAAATGCAAAATTAATTTGGAGAACAATGCAGATTCACTCAGCAGGGGTAGAGGTTTTATTACCAAAACTTTATACAGCAACAAATCTGAACCCTGCTACTGTAAGTATAATGATAAAACATGTAAAGTTGATGAAGATAAAACTGCAGCATTAGAAATATAAATCTATTTTTAAATTCCCTTTATGATTGCAGAGCTTTTAACTTGGATCTTTTAAACCATGAATGGTCCAACAGCTCCCCCTATTGATCATTCATAAAATATATTTTTTAAATTAAATTTTCAGGTTGAAAAGTGGAAAATGTTTGTCGAATGTGATAATAATTTTTGCAACAGCCATATCGAAACATTGGAATTGAATTGCAAAGATGTTGTGCTCCAATTATGTGTTGGGGACCATGCTCAGCTACTACCACATGAAGTTTAGCTCAATGTCTGTACAGTTGGATGATGCAACGCATGGAAAAATGGCTATGCTCATTTTTGTGTTTCCCTATGTATAGTGGCTGTGGCGGCCATCTTGAGATGGGTTGACTTCATATGTTTTATGAAAAAAAATTTTTTCGGAGAGTTTTGTTAAAGTTTGTCCTTATGGCATATTTTGCTAATGTGCAATGGGTGTTTCATACATGCACAACCAGAAAGCCTTTTTTAAAATGTTTTTTTTTTTTCCCACATAAAAAATGACGACAAAATTGCATGAGCAGTCAACCACTAAAACTGTCCATCTTTATTTGCAAATAAATATTCGCTGTAACTGCCTCTTACAGTGTGCAAGATCTACGACATCTCTTTGGAAATCATAGAAAAATAAAATACAAGAATTATAGGTATACTTGTACTTTGTACAAAACAACGTTCTAACATTGCTCAGCAGTAGAACATGCTAAACAAACAGCATCTGATCATCTCAGGATTCTGTAGAGGGGTGGTAACTGTGAGAGCATGAGTGTGCAAATCTATGTGTGATGTGCGTAACTTTCCCCATTCCTGCGCTGTGACTGGAAGGCACAGAGCTCCAGGTCCAGTTGATATTAATCAGTAAGTTATAAAAACAACAGGTGTATGCAGGCGGCCACTCTCATAGGATTCAAACAAATGGCTAGGTTTTGTGACTGCACTGAAACTTGTGGATTACTATAAAGTTGTCTTGCATGGCTAACAGACTGTAAGGCATTCAGTGTGTGTGTGAAGGTGTTTCTGTTTCTGCTGATGTAAAACAACACAATTGTGAGTTGTTATGGCACCAGTTGTGCTGGTTCCCTCCCTTTTCCCAATTTGACGATTCTACAGTGGCTTGGAAAAAGTACCCACACCCCTTGAACTCTTCATTTTGTCACGTTGCAACCTCACAGTTTAAATTAGGGTTAGGTTATGAAACAATATCTCAAGCTTTGAGCGTCTCACAGAGCTCTGTTCAATCCATCGTCTGAAAAGTGGAAAGCGCACGACACAACTTACCAAGACATGACCAACCACCTAAACTGATAGGCTAAGCAACTCTGGAGGAGCTGCAGAAATCCACAGCTCAGAATTTGTCCATAACCATATGTCATGCTCCACAAATCTGGTCTTTATGGCAAGAACAAAGAAGTCCACAAGCTGTGTAGGGGACGCAGCAAACATGGAAGAAGGTGTTCTGGTCAGATGAAACCAATAGCTTTTGGCCTAAATGTTACATGATGTGTATACCCAACACTTCATCACTGAACACAATGTCCCCACCTTGAAACACGGTGGTGGCAGCATCATGCTGAGGCTTTTTCTTCAGCAGGGACAGGAAAGCCTGTCAGAGTTGATGTTAGGATGGATAGAAGAAAACCAGTTGGAGGCCGCAATAGATTTAAGAATGGGGAGAAGGTTCACCTTCCAGCAGGAAACAATCCAAAACATCCAAACATTCAATGGAGTGGCTTAAATCTGAGCATATTCATGTGTTAGAATGCATTCACAACTAAATATAAAATACATGAAAAACCACGCTGATCACACAACAGTGTGGAAACGATTTCCTAAAAACGGTCACAATCGTTTAGTGATTTTTTTTTTTTCTTCTTGAAAATGACAAAGTTCTGAAAGCTGAGCATCTGACCCATTTTACAATTCATCTCTATCCGAGACATGGAGGTGACTGCATATATCTGTATTGCTGCTTTTGATAAAACTTTAAATAAATAAAATATTCAAATAATTCTCAAATTTACTAGGGCTTTCACAAACAGGACTGCACATATATTTATATTTGATTATAATAACTCCTATTAATCGTCTATACACCTTTAAACATTCAATACATGTTCGTAACTTGCTTCTCGCTTCTTTCTTCAAGTATAGCGTACCAGATTATTATTTTTTCTTCTTCTTCTGGAGAGCAGTTAACTATAAAGCAATTTAAATAAACCTTTAGAATAAATGATTAAACTCTAAAATGAAGAAAAAAAAAAATTAGTGTTGATTTTTTTTTTAAGAGCTAAACTGAAAGATTGCACACCCGTTAGCAGCTACATGAGCAAGGAAAGAAAAAGTCCCAAAAATTCAGTAGATTACATTTGTAAATCCACAATTCTAGATATTGTTGCTCCACACATAAAGGACCGCTGTTGCAACAAGGCATTACATTCCTTTAAGTGAGGGCCTGTTCAGTCTGACAGGTTGTAGGAGTCTGGTAAAACCAGGTGAAAGGGCTGTTCAGTAAAAAAACGAGTCTTGAGGGAAGAGTATGTGACCAGGAAGTAGTCTGCCGTAGCAATGCGTCCAATGCGTCCAGTGACCTCCTGCATGAGGGCTTCAGACTCAGGCACAAGGCTGTAAACTCGTCCTTGTTCGGGTTAGACTTCACTTCCTGCTTCGTCAACCTGTTCGTCCCAGGCTGTGTTTAAGCGAGCCCTCATACATGGAAACCCTTCTCCTGTTCGTGCAAAAGCTGAAACTGAAGGGTCTGTATGCTGCTGACGATCCGCCTCTGGTGGCCGATGAGCTCCACGCCAATACGCCTCACATCTCTAGGCCGAGAGGGGAAACACAAGTGCGGAAAAATACAGAGAAACCCTTTAGTTACTGGTTAAATTGCTCTCTAACTTTCATGCCAGAGTTTTAAACGAAGATCGTCTTAATCTCGTAGTTGATCTCACGAGGCGTGCTAGCGCTCAGAGCGTGCGATGTGAAGCACTCTCGGCTACTTACACATCAAATTTAAGCTCAATGTGTGTAAAAGTGGCTGAATTATAGCTATACTTGTGTTTCCGAAGGTCGGTTGGTTGCGGTAGCCATCTTGAATGAGGTTGACTCCAAAAGTCAATCAGAGTTTCTTTAAAAATGTTTAGAGGTCCATCATATATTTTGCAAATACACAGGTATGGGCAAAACATGATGACCCTTTCACTTTTGGCCGTGGTTAATACCTACATCTAACCTTTAGCTGTTAACGCAGACCAAACAGATTCAGACACTCCTCTTATCAGAGTGCGCTTTCAAGCGTCTGTTCGATTTCCTGCCATTAAGTAATGATCATGTTAAACAGCTTGACTCACTCAATACTCATTCTTGCCACAGAATCCAATGTGTCGAAGCCCGCTGCCATGAAATTACTCTTGTACTGACTCATTTTGATGGAATCCAGCCAGTCGCCAACAGAGATGAACATTGGGTAGTCCATCTCCTCCCCCGGGGATTCTGGAAGACTGATTAAAAAAAAAAGAAGAAGAAATTTAATTCAATTAATTCAATTCAAATATACTTTTATAATATCCAGGGGTAAATTATTCAAAAAGAATCCACATGTTTCAAATCATTTGAGAACTTCATGTCATACTCTGCTCTGAGGTAAATGTACTTCCAGAAATACTTCAGACATACAGTACAGTACTGTACCTCTGGAGGTCCTCTACCAGTGGCAGCAGGCTGCCTGGGTTACGAATTAGTTTATCCAAGAAGGTAACGATGTCTGTGAACTTGGGTCGATGGTTCCTCTCTTTTTGCCAACAGTGCAGCATCAGCTGGTGCAGGGCCACGGGGCAGCCCATGGGTGCAGGCAGCCGGTAGCCCTCCTCAATGGACAGAATCACCTGCAGACATTTGGATGTGACAAAATGATCGAACGTTTAGGGAACTTACAGAGATGAGCTTCTTATTTTGGGTTTTGCAGCAACAGTAAAATGTTTTCAGCGTACACGCCTGAAGGACCATTAAACATTGTCTATTTTTTAAGAAACAAAACACTTAACCAAAAGTGTTTTTATTAGTGTTATTGTACATAAATGCCTATCATTTAAATCTCTCTAATTCCCTGCTCACTCTTATGAAATTAGGATTGGCTCATAACTATTTAATTTGTACCAATTTTCAGACTATAAGGTGCATTAAGTGAAACAAAACAGTCAGATAAGTCAAACTTTATTCAGGTCATTCACAATAACCACATACAATCGGTTTGAGGTCAGTAAGCACAACCAGAATTAATACATAAGGTGCATTGGATTATAAGGCTCACCGTCGATTTTTGAGAAAAATTAAAGGATTTTAAGTGTGCCTTCTAGTCCGAAAAATATGGCAGACTGATACGCATCAACCCACGTTATTTTAGAATTTTTGTCGTTTTTGCATTTTAATAATAATAATGTCATCACAATGTCAGCACTGTATGTTTCCATACAATGGCGACATTAGTCTCTGCATTTAACCCATCCACCACCGAGTGGTGCAGTGGGCAGCTATTGAGGGCCCCGCGGGGCATTTTGGGGATGAGGTGTGCTGCCCAGAGACACCACGTGATGTGCAGTGACTGGGGATCAAACCTGTGACTTTCGGGTCCCAAGCTGGCTGCCCTGCCTCTACACCATCTTGGCCCCCATTAAAAGTCCCATATTGGGCAAAGCTTATTAAAACATTAAGCTAATTCAGATTTCACACTATTGTTTTTGTATTTATGGTTTCTACTGAATGTTTTTCTGCAATCAAACAGCTTCAGCATACTTTGTGCTACTTTAACCATTCATAAAAGTGTTTAACTCAACTGGGAATAGATTATTTCACTTTTAGTATTTGCAACTTTTATACTTTTGTATTGTTTAACTTACTACAAAAAACACACACACACACACACAAAAAAAAACAGTTATACAAAAATATTATTTGAAATCTACTTGGCATAAATGCTGTTTTTGACTTTTTACTTTAGCTGCTGTTTTGCTAAATTTAGCTTTTATTTATGGTTTAGCTACCGGTAATTTGAGCTTTTAGCTACTGTTTTGATAAACTGAGCTGTCAGCTATAGACACGGTGGATCAGTTGATAGAGCTGCTGCCTCTCAGAGAGCAGATGGTTCAAATCCCGGCTGGGGACCTTTCTGGGTGGAGTTTGCATGTTCTTTCCGTGCATGCATGGGTTTCTCCAGGTACTCCCATTTCCTCCCACAGACCAAAAACATGCATGTTAGGCTGATTGGTAACTCTAAATTGTCCCTAGGTGAGAGTGGGAGAGTGAATGGTTGTTTGTCTCTATGTGTCTCTGTGATGGACTGGTGATGTGTCCAGAGTGTCCCCCGCATCTCGCACAGTGATGGCTGGACATGGGCACCAGTGACCCCCGTGACCCAAAAAGGAAGAAGCAGGTAAAGATGATAGACGGAGCTGTCAGCTACTGTCTTGCCAATTTGAACATTTAGCTGTGCTTTTGCTAATTTAAGCTTTTGCTCTTGTTTTAACTTGAGCAATTCAGGTTAAACAGTCAACAAATTTCAGCAGTCATTCGTAATATTCACAATTTATCTCGCAAGATCTAAAATGTTTCTAAGAAGAAAACCTCTCAGAATAAATTAACATGTATAGCAAAGATTTCAGTCTCAGTAAGTATTTATGAGGTGATACAGATGTTTAATCTGAAGTTACCATTATACACAATAAAAAGCAACTAGTAAAACTTTTTTTTTAAATTTAGAACAAAGTTGCCATATTTATTGCATTATTTGTTACTCTTTATATCATTATGGGTGAATTCCATCACCAATCTGTTTCCATGTAAAAAAAAGAAACAGTAAACTCTTCATTATATCAGACGATGTGTGGTAACCTCTAAATGCCATCTCTCCAGTGCTCCACAGGGCAGTGGAGTATCCGTATATATTTTTTTGTGCAGCAGTGGAAAGTGGCTGACCACAACGGGATAGACGCAAGGCTGGTTTTGTGGCTTGGCTGGCCTTTTGCCTTGGAAAGCACTTCTAAGCAATTCCCAAACAGCACAAATCCCTCCCAAACCCTCAGACCTTGGTGAGAGTGTGCGCGCGGGGCGTTGGTGTATAGATGTGTACGAGTCTGTGCGTACAAGGTTGAAGGGATTACCGTGGAGCTTTCACACTCAGCGGAGAGAGGGATGGATCTGCTTCCACAGTGGTCCCTCCAATCCCTGACCGCGGTCCGGGGATCAGCGGGTCGCTCAGCCACACTGATCCCCGGCTTTAAACTCCTCTTCGACTGGACCCTCTGAAGTCCTCTGAATCACTGACCTCTGCGGTATCTTCATTTTCTCCTACTCATCTTTTTTTCCTCTTTTGGTAGTAATTCTGTTCTTAATCTCCTTCCGTTTAAAGGGAGGCTTTTGATGAGAGTCAACAGTCACAGAACAGGCTAAAGGCCACGACTTACGTATGTATAACATCAACATCTTAGGCAAATATTACTTCTGCTTGGGGTGAACACTCTCAGGAATATTCTGTATTTAGCAAATAAGACGTAAACAGTTGCAACTGTAAAATACTCACATCCTGATTGGACATCTCCCAATAAGGCCGTTCCCCATAAGACATGACCTCCCACATGACTATGCCATAACTCCATGCGTCGCTGGCCGAGGAAAATTTTCTGTAGGCAATGGCTTCAGGGGCTGTCCATCGGATGGGGATCTTACCACCCTTAACAGACACAAAAACATAAAACTCAAATCAGGCAGCTGCATATGAACACAAGTTCATGTGATCATGATAATGTGACATCCACTGCTGCATTTTACTACAGTTCCGATTGTAAAAACTGTTTTGTGTTCTTTAGGTACTTCTTTGAAGAGCGTTCAATCTGAAACACAATTAGAAACACATCACGGTTCTATTTTTCCACAATTTTTTTGAAACTGATTGATTGCTGCACCAAATCTAAAGGGTTGTGTCCTTTTTAAGCTTCACCTCGTCATAATTTCCCATAAAAGTAAGTGATCTTTATGTCAGACAGATATTATTTCAGATTTACATTCAAACAAAAATCATCCCTCTGCTCTTGGCTTGCAGCTGATCTAATGCTCCTATTTTCAGTTTTGATATTCAGCAGGATCCGTGCTGAAAACAACCATCACACAACCCTTTGAATAAAGTACTCAAATTGCAAATACTTTTAGAATATTTGCAACTAAAGGTTTGATCGGTAGCTGTGAGCCAGTTTATTATTACTCGATGAACTAAAGAGCAATTTCCTGATAATCACTGGCAAATGCACTTAGGCACTTCATAAATGTACTTAATCATTTTTATCCTTTGCATTCAAAATATTAGATCTCCTGCACTTGTTTCCAAAAGTGTTACTTTTATTTCTGTAAACTGAAAAACCTAAAAACTAAATACACGTCAAAGGAAATTGCACACAATTGCACTTTATCTGAAATCATATCTCATTGCAAACTAATAGTGTTAATGTTTATTAAGCATTCACACTACTGTGATCCTGATTATATTTCTTATAGTTACTATCCCTATTCCATCCATTTTTTGGAATCTTATCTCTTCATGCAGTCTTCAAGCTATTTCAACAAATCATATATCAAAATGTTCAGCTCCTTCAGATGGGTGCTATGACTTTTGGTATTGGTGCACCTTTAGCTTTTTGAAAATTTTAGCCTTTCCTGCCATTTTTTTCTCATGGAAAATGAACTGAGCTCATTTAACATTCTTCATATCCTTAGATCTGTTTACAACCTTTTACTGCTCCTTTCACATTTTGTTGTCCTGGTTCAGCTTCTTTCACCTGTTTTATGCAAATTATTTTTTCCAGCTACTTTCAGCTAATTTCAGACGTTTTTTTTCAATCCAGTTGTTTTTTTGTTCCAGCTGTTTTGTGCTTCTGAAACTTTCTTCTAACTAAATTTTTGTGCTTCTTCTAACTTTTTTCAGCTAACTTCAGTTTGTTATGCTCCTTTTAGCTTATTTCTGCAAGTTTCAGCTTTTTCGGCTATTTCAGCTACCATTTAGCTGTTTTATGCAAATTTTAGCTTTTTCATCTAGTTCCACATTTTTTTTTTTTAGCAATTGTTACAACCATTTTCAGCATAATTCAGCAAAAATGTGTTTTCTCATTTCCCCTCTGGTAATTTAAGCTTCCTTCTGTTTTTTTCTTTCTTTTAGCTACATTTAAACTGATTTTTGCTAATTTCAGCATTTTCAGATAATTTCCACTTCTTTTGTGTTAATTTCTGCTTCTTTCAGCCTAACTGGGAAAAACTGTGCTCCCTCCACTTCCTTCTGGTCATTTAAGCTTTCTTCTACATTTTTAGCTACTATTCAACTGCTCTGTTTTTGTTGTTGCAAATTTCTGTTTTTTAAGATAATTTCCACTTTTATGCGTTCATTTCTGCTTTTTTAAAGTCTAATTGGGCACAATTGTGCTCTCTCCACTTCCTTCAGATAATTTAAGTTTTTATTCGGCTGATTCAGCTACTTTTCAGCTGTTTCTTGCTAATTTCAGCCTTTTTTTGAGCCAATTTACATTTTTTTGTGCTCATTTCAGCTTATTTAAACCAAATTCAGCAAATATGCGTTCTTTCTGCTTTCTTCTGCTAATTTAAGCTTCTTCTTCTTTTTCAGCATGTTTTTAGCTAATTTCAGCTGTTTTTCAGCAAGTTCTTCAGCAATAAGCATTCACGCTGCATTTTTGCAGGAAATGCAATTTCTGTAGTGAAAAACAAAATTCAATAGACGTTAGCCACAACTGCTATCTCTATTTAAAAAAAAAGTCAGTAAAGGCTGCTTGTCCCCCCCCAGGTGTACCGTTGTTGTGTACGCAGCCTCCGGGTCGTCCTCCAACACACGTGACAGGCCGAAGTCGGACACCTTACACACCAGATTGCTGTTGACCAGGATGTTACGAGCTGCCAGGTCTCGGTGAACGTAGCCCATGTCTGACAGATACTTCATGCCTGAGGCGATGCCACGGAGCATGCCAACCAGCTGGATGACTGTGAAGTGACCATCATGTTGCTGCCACCAAGAATGAGACAGAGAAACAATAAACAGAAGAGAAGCTGTTAGGAACACAACGGACACTCTCCAGGCCCAGACTCCGCTGTCTCCCAGCAGTTATCAATTTAATTCTCTGTCAGCATCTCTTCTTTCTACATCAAATCATCCGTCATGTGGACAAGACCGACAAAGACCCCAAATATCCTCCGGAGGGAGGAAAGGGAGGGATTAGCATGTGAGTTCAGCTTGCAAATCATACACCTTCACACATTTTATTTTAAATTGATCAAACTCATTGGATGAGTAGCAAAATATAAAAAAAACCTCACAAAAATAAGTCTGGTCACCCTTTACAAGGAAAGAAAGGTCTTAGGATTCGCCTGAGAATCTGCATGAACAAAAGTTTTATAAACACTGTGACAAAGAAGGAAACAAAAGAAAGACACTTGCAGAAAAGCATGAAGTACAAAATATATTGTGAGAAAATCGTTAGTACTGAATTATGGCAGCAGTAAAATGACAAGACAATGTGCTACGGCTAATATATTCCATAATTCACACAAGTCATAAGTCACCAAAGTAAGTGAGGAGGATTTTTATCTGCGTGTAAAGCGTTACAATGATCCGAGCACAAAGACATGTCAGGGAGCTAAACATTATTTATGACTGAGGCCATACTCATGAGGACACATTATCATACTGGAGTTCTGTGTTTGCTTGAACACTCACTCTCAGGAACGAGTCCAGCGATCCATTTTCCATGTACTCCACCACGATCATCACAGGCCTACCTGCAATCACGAGAACAAACACATTACTATACTTCCAATGAAATTTTATTGGCCTTCCAAGTTTCCTCTGATATGCAGCAAGGCTGCTCCAGAGTCAAAGGTGAAAAAAGGAAATCAGAACTTGGTATAAGGTTTAGAATATATCCCAGAAATGACACCGTTTCACATAGAAATCTAACAGTCCTTGATACATCTGAAGGCAAAGAAATACAAAAAAAGATTTTGATTAGGAAATCCACAAGTGAGTAAATGTGTTTGTGTGTTTAGCACAGTTGCCAATTTGAGTTTTAGAAATCTATAGAGGACCGAGGAGAAACAAACTGATTGATGATCTAGTAAAGATGTCAGGCTCATGCAATTTTTCTATTTTAAAACCCTCAGCCAGTCGTAAGGGACCTGATCAACATTCAGTTTTTTTTTTGCTTTTTTTTTAAAGCTTTTAACAAGAGCAAGCCCAGCTTTTTTTGTTTTTTTTTGGAGCAGAGGACCCATGTGGTGCCACTGATTGACTGCTTTGCTGCTACAAGGCAACTGTCCAGGCCTGTTCGCTGACAGCTGCAAACCGAACTGCAGGAAGAAGAAATAAAAACATTTCTTAAATTGGGTTGTGTCACGTACTCCTGGAAACTGGAATACAGTCCCTCGCTATACTTCGCTCTTCGACGTTCTCGGACTTGCTTTTTCGTGATTTTTCAACGATTATCAATTTTAATATTACTCAAGTGATTGGGACAATATGGGCTAAAAAGTAAACAAACAAACAAACCAAAAAATTCAGACAGGCGCCACCATTTTGTAGTTTTCTTTCAATAAGCTTATATTGTAGCGTAAGTCAAAAGAACTACACTACCCAGAAGCCAACAGTGCTTCCGGCTGCTGCTTTTGCCAAAATGGAGGGGAAGTTTTGTAACACAAAGTCAGAAGAAACAATCTATCTATGAAGCTCACAGAACTGGCAGGAAATTACAAATAATCCTGAAGCTTCCAGAAGCTCAATTATTTACGCGCACATCAACCTGGACGGGGTGGTGGGTTTTGTTGCTGCAGGGTAGGTCTGTCAAACCTGAACTGAGCCGCTGGTCTGTAGAGCCAGTGAGTAAAATTTTGCAGTACAGTGTTCCCTCATTTATCACAGATGTTAGGGACCATGACACCCCCCGATAAGTGGAAAAACTGTGAAGTAGGGATTATTGAGCATGCATCAGGATATAGGGATACAGTAGTCCAAGTAGCAGTAGTAGTTTATTTTAGTATTTATATCTATCTATGTATCTTTCTATCTATGTATCTATCTACTTTGTATGTATGTATATCTATGTATGTATCTATGTATATATTACATAGATACATATATTAAGAGATAAGAACATTGCAAGAATGTGGGACAAATTTCTAAAACCTTAAAATAAATATAAATACCAAAATAAATAGTGTTCCTACTTTGCGGTTTTCACTATCTATTTATTAACCTTTATTTTATTTATTACCTTTATACCTTTATTATCATCTCTTTTGCAAGGGAGGCCTGGGCCTGAAGGCAGACTAACATGCATGTTTTTGTTCTGTGGGAGGAAACCGGAGTACCCGGAGAAAACCACACAAGCACGAGAAGAACATGCAAACTCCACACAGAAAGACCCCAGGTCCATCTGGGGATTGAACCCAGGACCTTCTTGCTGTGCGGCAACAGTGCTAACCACTGAGCCATCATGCTGCCACCGCAGCTATCACGGGTAGTGTGTGTAACGTAACCCCCGCAATAATTAAGGGACTACTGTATTAGGATGGAAAAAGAGAATTTCTCATAAGTTTTGTTAGTGCATAAACCTGCAGAAAATTAAGTACAAACAAAATATGGATGGGGTGGGGTGTCAAAGACTTGTGTACACTTTGTTTTTGCTGCTTTAGCATTTATATTTAAACTATTTTAACACTAAAAGACAAATATTTATTTGCCTCAGATTAAAGCAAAGATGTTTTGTCTCCATTTATTTTATTTTCTCCCAAACTCAGGAACGTCTCTCTGTGAGAGTCAGCTTTAGGTGTTTGCAGTTTATCATAAATATCTGTACACCTCTATCTGTATGATTTAAAATGTGGAATGACAACAATTTTACTTTAGTGCCAGTGTCCCAGAGAAACCGTGTGAGCTGCAAAGGATGCTGGGTATCTTGGGGCATTTATGTGTGCAGTGTTTCTGACTGTTTATGATGTTTCTGTGTGTTGTTCTTGTTAATGTCCTGTTCAGGTTTGGTTCAGCATTTATGTTGAAGTCTTTATTATTGGCTGTAAATTGATACCAGGAGTCAGAGGTTGTTCCTGGTATGTATAAGAGGAAAAGCATTTCTTGGTAACGGGTGAAAGTGTATGCTGATAAAAGAATGACATTGTTGTGATATTACTGCTAAGATATGAGTGTTGTTGTAATATCCATGTAAACACATGGGTTTTATATTCACCTGAAAAAAAGGTTTCATGGAAGTTAAAAATTTATGTACACTTTTGGAGGGAGGGGGTCTTGAAAAAAAAAAAGTGTTTTTTATGCGTGTTGAAATCTGTGAATCACCCCTAAGTCTTAAAATACCGTTACTGTTCCAAACACCTGGAAAACAGTTTTTGTTCTACCTTTGCTGATGGGAGGTGACCCCACCATACTGAACAACTGTCAACCAATCTCTAAACTCTGTATTCTTGCTAAGGTTCTGGAAAAATTGATAAATGCTCGAGTCAACAAGTATTTGGATTCTTTTAACATCTTACCTCGCTATCAATCTGGTTTCAGGAAACAACACAGCACAATGACTGCTTTGCTGAAGGTTTTTAATGAAGTTGTTGAAGCATTGGATGCTAAGGATTATTGTGCTGCACTTTACTTAGATCTGTCTAAAGCTATTGACACTGTGGATCATGACATCTTGTGTCATAAGCTCTCAGAAACTGATTTCTCAGATCACACTATTGGCTATCACTAATGGTTCTCTAATTATCTCTCAGATCAGAGACAATGTGTTTAAAATAATGGTACTACTTCCAGTTATTTAACGGTTAACAATGGTGTACCACAAGGTTCAGTCATAGGACCCAGCCTTTTCACAATCTACATAAATAATGTACGTCAGATCATCCCTGATGCATCCTTACATTTCCATGCCGATGACACAGTTGTTTATTGTTGAGCTAGAACAATCAAGTTTTACAGCTCTTACAGTCTGCTTTCGACATCATCCAGTCAGATTTGTTCCGTCTCAAACTTGTACCAAATGTTGATAAAACCAATGGGATGTTGTTTTCAAACAGGAAGTCAGTACCATCAGTCCTTCCTTCTATTTTATCTTCAAATGGTGCTCCTATTGAGTTTGTCGATTCTTATAACTGGGTATTTTGGTCAATTCGCATTTAAGCCTCATGTTGAAAACTTGGTAAAGAAACTGAAACTGGGTTTCTTTTTTAGAAATAGATCCTGTCTAACTCTGAATGCTGGGAAACTTCTTGTAACTGCTACATTCTTCCCATCCATTGACTACGATGACATGATTTATATGAATCCTCTTGCAAGCACCCTGCAAATGTTGGACACTGTCTATCACGGAGCGCTAAGATTCATAACTGGCTGTAACTACCGTACCCACCACTGCACCCTGTATTCACTGGTTAACTGGTCATCATTAACTTCTCGCAGACTCTCTCACTGGTACATTTTCCTTTTTAAATCACCTCTTGGTCTGATGCCTTCATACATCTCCTACATGTCACTACATGAGTGCAGCTAAGCATGCACTCTCAGGACATTATTACCTGCAGTGTTCCCTCAGTGCGGACTGAACTTGGCAAAAGGGCCTTCTCCTACTCAGCTCCTGTTTCCTGGAATATCTTACAAAAAGATCTGAAGTTCTCAACCATGACCTCTCTAGGGGATTTTAAACAACTGTTGAGTTCATGGCAAAAACCAACACAGACATGTTTCTGTTTTTAGTCTTTTACATCTCTTTATAATGTAGCTGTTTTTGTTTCGTTTTTATTTCATTTATTCAATTTATTTTTCATTTTATATGCTTTTTATATGATTGTCTATTGTTGTATGTACCTCATCTGCGTTCTTTGTTTAAAACAGGTCTCTCTTGTAAATGAGTTCTTGTGGCTCAATGAGACTAACCTGTATAAATAAAGTTTGAATGAAAAAGACATACTTGTAAACATATTGATTACTTTCTGCATGTAACATTGAAATTTGTCCAGTGGTTTATGAGATATTTTGGTAACAGTCATACAAACACACAGAGACATGAGAAAACCACATTATTCACTTTCACTTTCTGATTGCGACCCATAATGAAAACTTGAGTATGTAATGGAATACATATGTTATAGAATAATTTATCCAGACTATCTCTGGCTAATTCAAAGCATTGATTTGAAGGTTTTTAATAGGAAACATGTCCAAAACACCACATAATTATAAAAAAGCAGATGGTGCAACATTTCATTGTTCCAGCAGACTGGCAGAGATGCATCCCTTCCTGCTTTATCCAACTCATGTTGGCGGCTCAGTGTGTGATTGTTTTCACTGGAACAAACTCTTTCCATGCTGTGAATGAGCTCGTGTATGTTTTGTATAATGAGGTAATCCCTTAAAATCTGTTCATGTCAGGGAGCCAAAATTTTTATCTTTTTTTAAACAAAAACAAAATGAGGACGGTTAAAAAAACATTAACGCATATAATCATTGAAGAAAATATACAACCCCAGTTCTGAAAATGTTAGGGGGCTGAGTAAAATGTATATAACAGAATACAATTGATTGCAAATTTTATACACATATTTTATTCTGTTCATAATGAAACATATCAAGCATCAAATGATTAACTCAAATTGCACCATTTGTTCAATTTAGCAATTTTGATTGATTTTTTTTTTTCTTCAGCAATACATCTCAAAGAAATTGAGACAGGGACAACAAAAGTTTTTAAAAGTGGTACAAATTAAAAAACAGCTGGAGGAGCATTTTTCAACTAATTAGGTCAGTTGGCAACACGCCAGTAAAAGGACTGAATATCAAAATAAACATTTCTGCAAAAAAACTGCTTCTGAAATTAGTGGAACAATTTCAAAAATAATGTTTCTGAATAAACAATACACAATAAAGCTTAAAGCTCTATTATGCAGAAAATAATTCAAATGCAATCATCATCCATCACCCCCTTATCTGAACCAAAGCTCATTTAAATTGGGATGAAGCAAAATGAAAAACTGCTCTGTGGTCTGAAGATTCAAAATTTGACATTTATTTTAAGAGCAATGGATGACATATTCTCCATGTTAAAGAAGAAAGGGACCATCAACCTCATTATCAGTGCTTAGTTTGAAAGCCCTCCTCTCTGTTGGTATGGGGGTGTATTATTCCTAAAATCTCAGGCAGCTTACACATCTGGAAAGGCATCATTAAGGCAGAAAATTATATACAGGATTTAGAACATATGCTTCCATCTAGACAAGTAATTTTAAGGGAAGGCTTTATTTTAGAAAAACAATGCAAAACCACACACTGCATCTATAACAGCATGAGTTTGTAGAAAAAGAGTCTGGGAGTGTAACTGGTCTATAGTCCAGACATCACACCAACTGAAAACATTTGACACATTGCAATAATAAAAAAAAACAAAAAAAAAAACAGTCTAAAACCCAGGACATCAGACCAGAATGGGACAACGTTCCATTTCAAAAAGTCCAGCAGCTGGTCTCAGGTCCTACTTTAACAGACTTATTATATGGCTGTTGATAAAAGAAGAGGGGTTGCATCACAGTTGGAAATATAATCCTATCCAAATTGTTTTGAGATGTGTTGCTGTCATAAAATTCAAAATTCCCTCATTTTTTTAAAAAGTGTGATCATTTCTTAGTTAAACTGTTCATACTGTATATTTACTATGATTCAATGTGATTAAAACACAGAGTTATGAGATTTCCAAAACATTGCATTGCTTTTCCAAAAAAGTTCAATCTGGTCTGGTTCTGGTCGCAAAATTGCATTGCTTTTATTTACATTTTTTAAAATGTCCAAACTTTTTTTTTGGTAACTGATCTTTTACAATATTGCATCATAAAGGACAAAAAATAACCCCGTTCTGTATTAAACCTCAACTTGCTCATGACCACAGAAGCACAGTGTTTGAAAAAAATAAAATAAAAATCTAATCTGCAATATGATGTCACCCCATCCTCAGAATTCCTTGACGCTTCCCCTCACACAAGAATCCATCCGGGATGGAACGTAAATTATTCGATCAAGCTTGTCTTTCCTGTGCTAATTAGCGAGGTCTAGAAACAATTTATTGTTGTGTGGCGCGACACCCGAACAAAAACAAACGCACCTGTTTACCAGGATCTAATGTGTCACCTGTTATTTCAGAGCAGGTATGGCAGTCAGTCACAGCACAATAGTCTCCATAATTAGTCTCTGCAGAACAACTCCAACAGATGGAGGAAGTGATAAAGAAAGAAGACAAACCAGGCAGACAGGGGGAGTTTACCCAGAATAAATGCAGTGATCCCCCACTGCCAAACACAAAAGGCTTTTGATGAAATGATTTGATTTGACGTGCAGATAGTGTGTTTGTGTACTGGGTAGACGGTTACGGGAATCAGCTTGCTAACTTCCTTCTTATACCAGCAGATGAACCGTATGAAACCTAATGAATAAATAATGAAACTCTTCCTTAATGGCAGTATAGTTGATTTGTACCTCAGAGCACTTACAGTTGTGCTTTAATGTTGCATTTTATTCTAAGGCACAAATAAACTACTTTGCTCAAATCTTATACAAGACAAAGATGAAGAAAAACTGGCAAAGTTTATAATCATTAAATCTCTATAAATTGCAAACCACAGAGAGAGAGAAAAAAAATCGTGTTGAACCATCAGAGCTGCATGTCATCATTTTATTGGTTTTACTTTATTGCTCAAACATGTTCAAGATAACAGCAAAAGCAACAAAACCAATAAATCTATTGGTGCATATTATCAGTATTTAGCAGCTTTAATTCAATAATGACATTAATGGCCTTTTAAAACCCTTATCACTGGAGTCTTTATCAGCAGGGTCAGAGCTGAAGATTGTCCTTTATCTGCTTTCAAGGAGGGCTAGAAAGTCTTCAGGGGACACATTTATATTCACAGTGATGTCTCACTTTATACACCTCCTGTAAATACAACCATATGTTGTGCCTGGTGTGCCCTGTAAAACACAGCTCATTAACAAGTCCACACTGCTCCTTTCACTATTTTTTCCCTCTTCTGCACACTTTCGAAGAATATAATACCTTCTAAAATAAAATAAACAAAACAAAATCAAGCATGGTGGCCACTTAAATGTGCACACAAGTGCACACGGTGCAAAACTAAATGAGGTCAAGTTGAAATATTCCACATTTAATTGTAAAAAAAAAAACGAGGCTTCCAATGCATTATGGGGATTTTACAGGTGTTTATCTAAACAACAAAGGATGCAAATGTACCCGTCAGGCCGTGAAACAGTGTGTTTGACAACTTTAAATGCTACAAATTAAATTTGCATATACAGTTTTAGGCGAGTTACACTTTTTTAGGTTGGTAATGGAGTTATTCTCTGAAAAAGAGCTTAGAAGTAAAGCAGACATATAGTCAAGATGGTCCAGCTTACACTAACAGCACAGCTGCTGCAGACGAGTGCAAATCTGAGTGTTGTACTTTCAGCCACTGAATTATTTATTACTGAAAGATATTTTCTTATTTAGCACACACATTTAAATCTTAATATTGCTTTATAGGTTAATCACCATGCACTAGCATGGCATTAGAGATAAATCTTTCTATTGGTGGAGTCAGTGTCAGGAAAGAAGCTTATTTACAACGTTACAAAGAACAATGTCACTTTTCGGAGTCGCCTTACTTTTTGTGACCACGCCTTCCAGCCTGATGATATTAGGGTGGTCAAACTGGCCCATAATCGAAGCCTCGCGCAGGAAGTCCCGCCTCTGACGCTCAACGTATCCTCCTTTCAGCGTTTTTATCGCCACAGCGATCTCCTTCTTCCCTGGAGTCCTCAAGCGACCGCTGCACACCTCACCAAACTCACCTGGAAAGCACACACACTCATTTGTATAGAGAAAGATGCTCATGTGAGTAACCCATAAAGGGAACACCGTCATAAACACAGCACAACCGTCTTCTCAACCAATTTCACACGATCAGCTGGTATCCCAGCATACCACCTGAGGGCAGTGTTGCAGTTCTCATTTTCATCACAACTTCTCCGATAAACTTCATAACATGTTTTCCGTCACCACACAAAACATTTCCTTGAATGTACTGTAACACGTTCCTTTTGTTCTTCAAATCTATTAAAGCTTCAATATTCCAACACTGCAGAGAGAAAATGACTGTGAAACTCTGGGAAGTGGAAAGAAAATCCTCCTCTTTCGTGTTCACGGCGAAGCAGAGAGTGGATCATCTCACAGGAACATTTAAAGCTATTGTTATCACAGGAAACACAAAAGGGCTCTCTTCAGCCCACGTAGGGACTGTGATTCAGTAAAACATGGCTGGATGAGTGTGCGTGGAAGTGTGTGTGTCTGTACCGGCTCCGATCACTCTCTCGATACGAATCCTGCACGGGTCGATTTCTTTAGTGAATTCGTGGACGGCCTGTGTAGAGTCCTCATAGGTGTCGGGGTCCACGTATGTCTTTATCCCTGGAAAGGCGACTGTAGAAAAAATACAACGACAAAGAGAAGACAAAATAAGGTGAAACTTGTCAAAGTGCTGTGCAAATTCTTGAACAAGGTTGATATTAAATTTGCTTTCATGACCAGTAGGATCAAAGTATGCTACATAAAACATCTACGAGGGTCAGCCTTAAGAAACAGTTTTAGACACATATAGATGGGTTTGTCCATTGCTATTGATTATGAGCTGTAGGCGATGAGTAAAAGAACACTTTTATACCTTTCTTCAATACCAACAAACATCTACTATACAGTATATCTACAAATGGTGGAAAAGGGGAATAGTTTTAAAAGACTGACACATGTATAAGGAATGTGACACTTTTTAAACATTGTGAGGAAAATCTTTCCCTCCAGCCATCTCTTGCTGGATACTGGACCCAAAATCGTTCATGTATTTGGACTGACACGACTCCTGGTCGACACTGTCCAGCACTTTTGTTATCTTAAGAGTTTTAGTTCCACTTTGCTGCCAATCCATTATTGAAATGACCAATCTTGTCCTTTTCCTTGTGTATTAATCGTTCAAATCATCCATTCATTTTCTGCCACTTTCCGTGGTTGAGTTGTAGAGGCAACAAGTCCAGGATGGAAACCAAGACGTATCTTTTCTTGGCAAAACTCTCCAGCTCCTTCTGGGGGATCCCAAAATATTTCCAGGCCAATGAAGATATATAATCCCTTCAGTGGGTTCAGAGTGGGGAGATTTGGAATGTAGACAAACCAGTAAACTGGGAGCTTTGCCTTTCGACCAACCTCCTTCTTCACCCAGGCAGACCAAGTCGATGTTGTTATTACTGCAGATGAGGCCCCGATTAGTTGATACATGTCTTGCTCCATCCAATCAACAGGACCTCAAGGTGTTTGAAATCCTCTGCTTGAGTTTGTATATGTATGGTCTACAGTTCCTACTAAACGTGTTAGCTTCAAGGTCAAGGTTTCTTTATTTGTCGTTCGCGCCACATGTGATACATGTGGTGAAACAAAACTGTGTACACAGGGTCCCAGTTACATCCAACAAAAGTATATATTGTAAAGAAAAACAGTAGTAAGATCTAAGATATGAACTACAAATGCGCTAAGCACCATGATCATGCTCGACGTCTTTTCCCATATTTCGTGTTTTTTCGTGGTGTTGCAGCACCATGTACTAGGGGTTGAACGACTACATATTTTAAAAAGTCGACTTAAACATGATAAAAGTCGAGTCAATGCCGACTAGTCAATGATATCATAGGAACTCTAGACACTATATCATTTACAAAAAAAAAAAAAATCGCAAACTAACTTCATTATTATTTACAAAAAAAATAAGAACAGCAAAACATCAGGTGTATATTTATGCTTCTACCAGTTATCACACTGCAAAAAAGTCACAGGAAAACCAAAACTATTGTTAAGTTGCAAATGTGAAAGACATGCGGCACGTAAAAAACAAGGCTAAGAACAGCGAGGCGGGCGGTGATGGACTCATAACAGCCTGCCCTGCTGTTCTTAGTTTTATTTTATTTAGTCCAACATTGTGGATTGGGTGGAATGGAATTGAAGGCAGGGGCGTGGGCGGTGGTGGAGCACCTTATTTTATAGTTAATAATGGTCATCGGCTGCGCGCTGGTAAACTTTAGGTGGGTTGCTGACAGTGATCCATCTGAAATTTTTTGTACATCTTTTAACCGCCCGGTCAGCGCGGCTGGTGGTGATCCAAGCTGGATCATCGGCCGCGCACATCTGCTAACGCAATCAAAAGCCCGACACCAACCCGGCCCGTCCATCCAGCATATTATTTTGGCTCAGGCCAGGTGTAGCCGTGTTAGAAATGACAGCTCTACTGCCATGCTGCTTTTAGTTTTATTTTATTTTAATCCAGCACGTGAATTGGGTGGAATACGGCTGGGACAGAGGGGTGGGTGGTGGTGACTGCGACTAGTCGACATGAAATATAAAAACATGCGGGATGTCCTAGGATCGACTAGCCGACTAATCTATTCAACCCTATGTTTTGGTCATATTTTACTAGCTTAGTGTGGATTATTTATATTTATTTATTAACCTTTATTTATTTAACCAGACAAATTTCACTGAGATCACCTATCCCATTTGCAAGGGGAGGCCTGAGCCTGAAGGCAGCCTAACGAGTGTTTTGTACTGTGGGAGGAAACCAGAATACCCAGAGAAAACCAGCACAAACACAAAGAGAACATGCAGTGCTAACCACTAAGCCATCATGTTTCTCAATGGATGCCAATGTTCCTAGACACATTGTTGTGCTTACGAGAATAAATTATTCTCTTATTATCTCCATGGTAAATTCCATAAACAATAAATAAAAAAAAAGTTCTGGAAAAAAAGAAGCCATAAAAAAAAACAACTCCTCAAAACAAGTGTTGAAGACATAATTTGTTTCAACCCTCCACCCCGATGGTGTGTCCTTGAGAACAGTTGGTGAATCTTTAACAAGCTGCTGCTGTTCTGTTGTTGACCTCTACCTTCCAGTGCATGGGGTAGATAGGAGACAGAAGCTGTTCTCCTTCAGGGATCAATACAGTATCAACAAACCAAGAACAACAATCAGCTGTCTCTGATGCATGAAGCGTCACCGGTGAACCCCCCCGAGGCTTCGGTTCTCCTCTCAAAGCTTCTGTCACACTCAGCGCTGAGGTGCTCACAGCTGAAACAGTCCTGAGGATAACAGTGAACACGTTTGCTCACAAAGTTTTAATTTCAAATATCTAAAACCTGGGTGGCACCTTGATATATAACTTTGCTTTCACACTTTTTCTATCTGTTCGTTGATCTCTGGCCTCAAATCACACCGTTCTCTTGAAATATTCCACATTTGTCTTTGTTCTCTCCTTTTTTGTGACTTTCAACCTGTGTGGCCTCATCCTTGTTTCTTTCTTTGTCCCTCCGCTTAGCAATTCCTTTCACCTTATATTTTTTATCATATTTCTACATGCACAAGTATTAATTTAATAAGTTTAAATCTTTTTAAAGTCAGGAATGAAACATTTGATATTACTGAAACAAAATAATAGTATAAGAGACAGTTCAGGGACACAACTATGTATTATTCAGAAATAATAATTAAAAAAAATCTTCTGTATGAGATCAAAATAAAACTGAGTAATAAGGGGAGGAGGTAGAGGCAAGAAGATAAAAGTGCATGAAGTCAGGAGTTTTTCAACATCAGTAATAAAAACTTGCAAACTTGTATCTTCCTTACACAAGTTTGACAGTAAGTAGCGTGTTTGCATTCTGTAAAAGCTTCTCGTGAGGTTTGTCGAAATATGCCACAGAGCATGAACACATGGGAAATTATCCCATACTTCATGCACATTGAATGGAAAGAAAGGAGCAGGTGGCTAACTGCTAACAGACTCACAACAACAACCTAAAAAAATTAATGAAGTGAATAATTAAAACTGAATGCCTTTCCTTACAAAGCAAAACATTAGCTAACAGCTAAAAGAAGCAAAACTGGCTTAAAACTATAAGACGCTAAATGACAGCTAAAAGCTAAGTCAGAAAATGCTACAAGCTCAAAGTAGCAACATTTTCTAAGAGTTAAAAGTGGCAGAACTGTAAAATTGGAGTAAATATGCTAATGTAGATTTCAAAGACAGGGAGATATATTTATATGGGTAGAATAGTTGTAAATAAAGTTTAACAAGCATAGTATATAAAGTCAGAACCCATAGCCGACCCTGAAAGTGCTGAAATGTCACGACAAATGCACAGGTACGGTAGTTAGACTACAAAACAGAAACATAAAAACGAAAAGAAAACCAAACAACTAAACAAACAAAAAAAAACAGTAAAGTAGTAGTGGGAACATTGATTCACACACTATTAGCTGGTGTTAATTGTCTTACCGTGTCCATTCTGGTAATTTGTCTGTCTTTTGTCCTCAGAGGTCATCTTGGCCTTAAAATACCACTGACATCTGAAAAAAACAACAACACAAAGTTAAACAAAATTAAAAACTTTCAACACAAAATTAAACAAAATCTAAAACTTTCAGATGTGGAAAAAGACATTTTTATCTGTCCTATCTTTCCAGCTCTAAAGAAACTAGCTACCTCTGATAATTATAGAAGAAGCCTGGAAACATGGGAGAAATTAAAAACTCTACTAAAATACTTCTTACTCTTGAACCAAACATTATCCACTTTTGTTTTTTACACAAGTATTAATTTTAGAATAATGGTACATTGCTTTTAAGACACTTTAAATGAACAGGAAGCTACAAAAATGTGCCCTTTCTCCTTGTTTTTCTTGTATAATAACACCATTAAAGTGTCATTCTGTGATCTGTTAAAGCATAAAGTGAAACTAGCGCAAATAGAGCAGCACTCTTCTTTTTCATTATAGTTTTAAAAAGTGCTGGAGCTTGGAAAGAAGCACCACATTAGACAGTACTGTTGTTAGTAGGTTGTTTTTCTGTGGATGGTGCTGAAAACAGCCATCATCCTGTTATCTGATGCATGAACTGGACCAAATTAAAGCATCTGTGCCAATTTCACACAAGTTGTTTCTGAAACTTCTACATGCATATTTGTTGTCTCTTTTTGTGTAATGAGTTTGATTTGTGAAAGAGGTCAAAGTAAATACTTGCAAGGAAAACATCAACGACATGTCTGTGAATGTGTCTGTTGTGTGTCGAATTGTAATGACACTTCTGGATTAATAATAAATAAAAATGAGACCACCCAATTCAAAATGAATCTAATTCAGTCAATATTACAAACAGTGATCTAGATAATCGTGTGAATGCTTATTAAGTATTCACACAATTGTTTTCCCGTTTATATTTATTATAGTTACTACTCTTCTTCCGTACATTTTGGCATCTTTCTCATTCCACAATTTTAGTGCTACTTCAACAAATCATATCAAAATGTTAAGCTGTTTACAGTATTTTACTGCTCCTTTAACATTTTGTTCTGGTTAAGCTTCTTTCAGCTTTCTTGTGCAAAAAAATAAAAAATAAAAATCAGCTACTTTCAGCTATTTTGTGTTCCTTTCAGATTTATTTTGCTAACTATAATATTTTTGTGCTTCTTCTAACTTATTTCAGCTAATTTCAGCTTGTTCTGCTCCTTTAAGCTTATTTCTACAAGTTTCAGCTATTTCAGCTACTATTTAGCTGTTTTATGCTAATTTTATCTTTTTCAGCATATTCCACATTTTTTGCACTCATTTAAACTTTTTTTCAAACTAATTCAGCAACTTCATGCTCTCTTCATTTGCCTCTGGTAGTCTAAGTTTCTTTCTGATTTTTTAGCTACTATTCAGCTATTTAAAAAAATTTTTTTTTTTTTTACTAATTTGTGCTTTTTTCCCCTCCAGATAATTTCCACCTTTTTGTGGTCATTTTATGATTATTTAAGCCTAATGTGGTCTCTCCATTTCCTTTTGGTAATTTAAGCTTCTTTCTGCGGTTTTAGCTACTATTCAGCTATTTTTTTTTTACTAATTTGTGCTTTTTTTCCCAGATAATTTCTACTTTTTTGTGGTCATTTTATGATTCTTTAAGCCTACTTGGGTGCAAATGTGGTCTCTCCATTTCCTTTTGGTAATTTAAGCTTCTTTCTGCTGTTTTAGCTACTATTCAGCTGTAAAAAAAAAAAAAAGAACTAATAAATGCTTTTTTTCAGATAACTTCCACCTTTTGTGGCAATTTCAGCTCGTTTAAGCCTAATTGGCTGCAAAAGTGGTCTCCACTTCTTTCTGGTAATTTAAGCTTTTTTCTGCTGTTTTTTTTAGCTACTATTCATCTGCCTTTGTTTTTTGGTATGCAAATTTCTGCTTTTTTCAGATATTTCAAATTTTTTTCAGCCTAACTGGGCACAACTGTGCACTCTCCAGTTCCTTCTGTTAATGTAAGCTTCTCTCTGCTTTTAGCTACTATTCAGCTTCTTTATTTTTTCCTATTTCAGTATGTTTTTAGCCAACTTACTAATTTTTGTTCTTATTTAAACCAAATTCCGCAAATATGTGCTCTTTCTGCTTTCTTCTGCTAACTTCAGCTTGTTCTTCCATTTCAGCTACCTTTCAGCACGTTTTTAGCTAATTTCAGCTGTTTTTCAGCAGGTTCTTTGGCAGTAAGCATTCACACTGCATTTTCGCAGGAAATGCAATTTCTCTAGTTAAACTAAATTTTCATCTTGTAAGGTTACAATTTAATGTCACCACCTTTCTGATAAAAGCACAAACTGTATCCAACACCTGAGACAGTTTATATAATTACCAGATGATTAAAACAAACACGGATCGCTGCAGGTTCTCATTTAAAAATTTATACATTTGTGTTAAAACTTATGTATTAAACAAAAGACAGGAGCTGCAGTTAATCAAAACTTTCCAGACATCCATACAGCAACATCCTTATGGAAACAAATTAATAAATAAATAAAAGGAACGACTGGATGCTGATAAACGTGAATTCTCATTTTAAAGAAACTGTCTGACTTACTGACGTGTTTGCTAAGCACATATACACAGAAATCAAACGTAATCATGTAAAACTGTCCCGTTCTCCTCTGTGTGAGTTGTGTGTGTTTATCAAGGCACCAACAGACTGCGAAGCAGCCAGCGACAAAGCAAATGCTGCTGCCACAAAAGCTGAAAGATTAGATGACAACATCTGCAAAAGACTACAGAAGACGCAATTCAAACAAGTTCTTGGATATTTTAAAAAGAAAATAGAAGAAAATACAAACTCCCGAATGAGAGACGTCTGAAGCAAAGGTCTGATTGGAAATGAGGAGTTGAACTCACAGCTAAAACAATTCCCCACAAATATAGTCAAAAACAAGACGATGACTTACTCAGAGGTGCTTTAGTAAAAAAAGAAAAGTAAAATCATAACAAGGGCACATTTTCTTTTAACCTGAGAAATCTTTTCATGCATTCTTTCTTAACCAATTTGTGTGTGGAGTTCTCCTGAAGTTCGACCTGTGTCTAGTAAAATATACACGTTTTTCACAAAATATGTGGGAATTCTTTGCTTAAATTTAGTGTTTTGAATTTTCCAAATTATTTGAAAAACTATTGAACGGCTTTATGTACTTCAAAGCAAACTGTAATTAATGGCCTAGAATTCCTTGAAGGAATGCACATCGCCCGCCACCGTTAGTGACAGAGATTTTGATCGAGAGCATCTTACTGATAAGTTATCGCCATTTTTGTCAAACAAACCTTGAAAATAACAATATGCTTTTTCATGTAATATTACAAAAAGTCATATTCTGAGTGTGTGTCAGGAATGACTCTCAGCTGTGACCACATCAAATTTTAGCTCAACATTCGTCAAACTGACCAAGTTAGAGCCATTTTTGTGTTGGATAATTTTGAATAGCTGTGGTGGTCATCTTGAATTGGACTGACTCCAAAAGTTAAATAATTAAAGATGTACATCTGACGATTACTTTCTGCAAGATTCAATAAAATTACTCCAGTGGTTCATGAGATATTTTGCTAACAGACAGACACATAAATACATGCATGTAGACAGAAGCAACATTATCAGCACCTTTGGCAGAGGGTGATAATTAGGCAGCAGCATTGCTTTAGACGAGCCCTGGTTTTCCCAGCTTTTGGTTTGCTTTACATGAATGCACAGCACTTTCATTCAACAGCCAATGGTTTCAAATGTGCTTAATTTAAAATTAAACAATTCAATTCAGTTTATTTATACAGCGCCAAGTCACAACAGAAGTCATCTCAGGGCACTGAACAGAAACATTCATATACATAAAGTAATAATAAGATTATTTATCTGAGTCTGCTTTGAGTCTTAACTTTGTTGCAGACTCTCATCCTGATCAAGCATGAAGGCAACAACGGAAAAGAAAAACTCCCTCATGAAGAAGAAACCTTTAGCAGAACCAAGAGGACAAGCGGCCATCTGCTTCGACCGGCTGGGTTTGACAGGACAGGAAGGAGGAACAGATACACAATGGCAGGTTGAGAACTACATGTTAAGGTAGAAATAATTTCAAATTCAAACTATTCATTTGTAACAATTCATTTTAAGAAATGAGGTCAATTTGTCCTCCAGTAGTCTAAGCCTATAGCAGCATAACAAGCCAACCAGAACTATAGGATTTATCAAAAAGGAAAGTCTTAAACTGGACAATGTGTCAGTCTCATGGACAGAAACTGGAAGTTGGTTCTACAAGAGAGGAGCCTGATAACTGAAAGATCTTCCTCCCATTCTACTTTTGGAAACTCTAGGAACCGTAAGTAAGCCTGCAGTTTGAGAGCGGTGCTCTGTTGTGGGTGGCTGTGGCTGAGCGGTTAGAGCAGTCGTCCTCCAATAAAAAAGTTGGGGATTCAATTTCATCAGCAGTCACATGCCGAAGTGTCCCTGGGCAAGACACTGAACCCCTCGTTACCTCCGATGTGTGTCCCATCGATGCATGAATGTGATAAAGCTCTGATTATTCTTTGTAGAGATCTAGTAGAGTGCTGTATGAATGGGTAATGAGGGCACAGATTGTGTTGTAAAGCTCTTTGAATATCTTGATAAGATGGAAAGGCGCTATATAAGTACAGTTCATTTACCATGTTAGACTAACATATACAACTGACATGCATGCTAATGCTGTGTTCAGCAGAGCTGCTTTTGGAACAAACAAAATAAAACAAACAATAAAATGGAAAAAATGGGCTTTCTACTTAACAAAATTGCAAGTGAAATCAAAACTAAAGTCCAAACGTGAAACTAAGGTGGGAAATCAGAATGTCAGTGTTCAGGAGTCAGACGCAGGTCTCCTGTGTGAAAGTTAGACAAAATATCCCACCAAGCTCCTTCCCTGGTCTTTGTTTTGCCTTTTCAAACAGAAAGTGCTCCTATATGCCATTTAAAAGCCCTTATAGGATGAAAGGGACAAACAACAGAATATTAGAAAAAGTTTAGAGGATTTGTCTTCTTTGTTC